TAAATAACAGCGTGATTATCGTTCGTTAATACAAAGTTATATTAGTTAAGTAATACTAATTGCAAAAGTATCAGCATCTAACCTTTTAAAACAACACAGTCGTAGCCATAATAACGTATATGTTAATATTGTATTTTACATCTACTAATTGTATTGTATTAAAACGTGTCGTACACAGCTATATACGTAATATTAATCTTTGCTCACATCCGAGGTTCTTCATAGATATGTATATCACGTGTTATCTAAAACAAAGTATAAAAGGTTATGTTCTAATATAAATATAGAATAATAAGTGCATGACGATTATACACATGAGTATATGAAATATTACATTAAAGGTGTATGAATATCTTATACCTTATCACCATCTAAAATGACTTGCAATATCTTTGACAACTTTGTCAACGTATTTGTGAATATTGCATTTTACATCTACTAATTGTATTTTTGTATTAAAACGTGTCTTACACCGCTATATACGTAATATTAATATTTGCTCACATCCGAGGTTCTTCATAGATATGTATATCACCTGTCATCTAAAAAAAATAAAAGTTTATATTCTAAAATAAGTATAGAATAATAAGTGTGTGACGATAATACACATGAGTATATGAAAAATTACATAAACGGTGTATGAATATCTTGCAAAATACCTTATCGCCATCTAAAATGACTTGCAATATCTTTGTCAACTTCTGAAACGTAGGTCTTCGCTCTGGATTATCTGCCCAACAAAGCTCCATTGCTGAAAACCTGTATAATTCATTACAATACAGTGTGACACAGTATATAGTGCAATACAAATTTCAAATCAATACATAAATCATCTGTGGCATGTATTTATCAGTTAGATTCAAATTAAAAATCATAATTTCATAAATTATTTCAATAACGATATCGGTCTACACACTCACATGTCTTGGTGACATTTATCTGGTCTTGGCATTCGATATCCGTGCTGTACAGACTCTATCACTTCCTGTGTTGACATAGCGTTATATGGTACTCCACCTGTATGACAATAATTATTTGACTAAAATTAGCATCAGTGAACATTATGATTAGTTTCAATATCATTGAAATGTCAAGTGATACATACTACAACTATTATAATCAAACAGGTATGAATGTACATAAGGTGTTTACCATAATAACTACGAGGAAACTTATAATAATGATTTTGCTGTGTGTCGTGTCTTTTTTGATATTAAAATACTCTACTTTGTTCATTATATATTCTATAAACTATGTCTACCTAGTGTTTCTATCTCCCACAAAACAATACCACATGACCATACATCGCTTTTGTTGGTGTACACGCCATCCAATATAGACTCCGGTGCCATCCAGCGAACTGGTAAACGTCCCTGAAACAATATCAAAGAGATATATTTATTATCATTGCAACAACAAACATCAATAAGGTTTTGCCAAGAATT